TACCACTGTTGACGGTGGGATGTAGATCATGATTTATTTCTGCTAGTAATGTGCAGTTTTAATTTGCATGAATTTAACATTCACCAGTTGTCAGAATGGGGCTTGAGCTTAGGAATGTGGTTAGGGGTGCACACGTCACCCTAGATCAAAGACTGGCTGCTCCGCAGGTGACTGAGAATTCACCGTATGGAAGCTGTGGTTACTGCACGGTGTGCTTTGTAAAATCTCTAGTTTCTAAAATTGGACATTAAATCTCTAGTGGCTCTGTGCACGTGTAGGTTGTGGGAGGGTGACGGATGAGACCTGTGTCAGAGTTGAGCTGAAAGGCAGGCCTCTGCAGGAATGTCACTGCCTGGGTCACAGAGCTAGTCTCCCACCCCAGCAAAGTCATTGTTAGTTTTAGCTGCGGAATTTCTTTATTTTTAAATGGGTGTGAATTCCCAGGAAACCTGCAGACATTGGTTCTTCTGAAGCTGGACTTTGGTACATGTGTCAGTTCTGGAAAATGGGGGTGAATATTGAGAAACCCAAGAGTTATAGTTTTATTTTAAACTAGAGGCCTGGTGCACAAAATTCATGCACTGAGGGAGGAGGGGTCTCTTAGCCTGCTCTGTGCCCTCTTGTAGATATGTCCACCTTGGGTGTGTCCGCCTGCCAGCTTAAGGATCGGGCCTAAGCTGGCAGTCAGACATCCTCTTGGAGTCCAAGGCTCTCACAGTCCAGGACCACTCGTGCCTTCCTGCCTGCCTGCAGCAGAGGCAGGAGAGGCTCCTGCCACTGCGGCTGCGCTTGCCGGCTGTGAGCCTGGCTTCTGGCTGAGCAGAAATTCCCTGTGGGAGCGCACTGATCAGCAGGGGGAGTTCCTGCATTGAGTGTCTGCCCCCTGGTAGTCAGCGCACATCATAGCAACTGGTCATACTGCCGATCATCCTGCCATTTGGTCAATTTGCATATTAGGGTTTCATTATATAGGATATCTCAGTCTGTGATTTTTAGTTTTTCACTGACACATAACATTGGGTAAGTTTGAGGCATACGATGTGATGGTTTGATGTACTTACATGTTGTGAAATTATTACTACAGTGGGGTTAGCTAATACTTCCAACACCTCACATGACTTTCTGTGGTGAGAGCACTTAAGATTTACTGTCTTAGCAACTTCCAAGCATATAATACAGCTTTGTTAACAATAGTCGCCATACTTTACATCAGATCTGAGAATTTGTTCATCTTATAATTGGGAGTGTGTATACTCTGACCAATATCTCCCATTTCTCTGGTAGCTCCTATTCTACTCTCTGGTTCTGAGTTTGACTGTTTTAGATTTTACATATAAGTGGCACTGTATAATATTTGTCTGATTTACTTCACTTAGCATAATATCCTCAAGGTCCATCGTGTTTTTGCAAATGGTAGGATTTCTTTCTTTCTCATGGCAGAGTAATACTCTATCATCTGCCTGCCTGCCTGCCTGCCTGTCTGTCTGTCTGTCTGTCTATCTATCTATCTATCTATCTATCTATCTATCTATCTACCTTCCTTATCTTCTTTATCATTAATCTGTGGATGGACCCTTAAGTTGTTTCCATGTTTTAGCTATTGTGAATAATGCTTCAATGTAGGGGTGCAGATATCCCATTGTGGTTTTATATCCTTTGGATAAATACCCAGAAGTGGGATTGCTGAGTCATATGGTAGTTCTATTTTTAATTTTTAAGGAACATCTATACTGTTTCCATAGAGATTGCACTAATTACATTCCCACCACCAGGTCACCGGGTTCCCTTTTCTCTGTGTCTTTGCCAGCACTTGTTATCTCTTGTCTTTTGATGACACCCATCCTAACGGGTGGGAGATGGTTTCTCACTGTGGTTTTGGTTTGCATTTCCCTGATGACTTGTGATGTTGAGCACCTTTTCATATACTTGTTGGCCATCTGGATGTCCTTTTTGGAAAAATGTCTGTTCAGATCTTCTGCTCATTTTTTACCAGTAATCAGATGTGGATTTTTAAAAATTATTAAGTTATATGAGTTACTTATGCATTTTAGATATTAATCTCTTATCAGATACATGATTTGCAAATATTTTATCCCCTTCTGCAGGTTGCCTTTTCATCCTGGTTGTTTCCTTGAGGTGCAGAAGGTTTTTAGTTTGATGTAGTCCCATTTGTTTATTTTTGCTTTTGCTTTTCATGTCACATCCAAAAAATTGTTGCCAAGACCAATGTCAAGGAGACTTTTCTCAATATTTTCTTCTAGGAACTTTATGGTTTCAGGTCTTAAGTTTTTAATCCATTTTGAGTTAATTTTTGTTATATCTACTTGATGAATTAACCTCTTTATCATATAATGATCTTTGTCTCTTGTTGCAGCTTTTGAGTTAAAGTCTATTTTGTCTGCTAGAATATGCAAGACTGCTGTCATTTGTAAGGAATACTTTTTCCTCCATTTCACTTTGATCCTATGTGTGTCCTTGAAGCTGAAGTGAGCCTCTGGTTGGATTCTATATTTTTACCCTTTGATTGGAGAAATTAACCTGTTTACATTGAGAGTAACCATTCATAGGCAGGGACTTACTAATGCCATCTTATTGTTTTATAACTGTTTTGTAGTTCCAGACAATTTATTCTAGAATATTCCACAGAATATTCTCATTCTATTTGTAAATTATAAGTGACCTGTGGTTGGTACTTTTGAGACTATGGAAGTCCATATTTCTCAACAGTCATTCACCCTGTAATTTACAGTAATTTAATTTATTGACATAAGTTCTCAAACTATTATTTGTGTAATAATCAGAGAGTTTGGATGCTTCTTTAGCATCCTGGGTAATGTGACATTGACTAGCATAGATCAATAATCTTTGAGATTCCATTAAAAGATACTGGCATTTTAAAATTGTAAGTTAAAATTATAGATTTTTATTTCCTAGCCCATGCCTATAGCTCACAAAGTGAATTCCATCAAGTTGGAAAACGTAGGAACAATCATGAAATGTAAGTCACTGAGAAACAACTAAAAAGTGGCCTATCCCTGAAGCACAGCTCTGAGTGTGCTGGCACAGGTGTTTAAGTGAGCGAGGCAGCGAGGAGGGAGGCAGAAGTGCACACCTGCTGCTAACACGGATCTGGCATTTGATCACTTCAGCCATTTAAGGTGGGGTTTGGGTCACAGGTTCACACGTCAAAGGCCACAGGGGATGAGGGAGCTGGGGGAAGTGTGAAGAGATCGCAGGGAAGACAGGAAACGAGCAGAGGTGGCGGGGATTCTCCAACTCATTAAACATGGGGAGCTCAAAATAGACAGAATGCAGAGGCAGCAGTGAAATGCTCTGTGTGCAACAAACTGACCTCGCTAATACTACTTTTGGGGAAGGAAGATCTCAGTTGTGTGTGTGTGTGTGTGTGTGTGTGTGTGCAGATGTTCAATCAGTTGAGTCTCATGACACTGCTTTATGTGAAAGCAAAGCGTAGCCTATAGTTTTAAAAGTTTCAGTGTGTGTAGATGAAACAGTATTTATACTCATAAGGTAAAATGACTGTCAAATTTGTAAAACTCCGTAACAGAAAATGAGTAATTTCTGATTGGAGAGCCAACACTATCATACTCTGGAATTACAAAGTAACTCAGAGAAAACGGAACGGAGCAAAGCCTGGAGTGGGTTGGGAGGATGGAAACAGGTGTGACCTGAGAATGAACGACAACATGAGATGGCCAGTCCCTGTGAAGGAGGAAAGACATGGCTTCGAAGATGGTAACTGGCCAGAAACCAGGTTTCCCGCAGGGAGTGAGCATGAAGACTGTCGGTTGGGCTGAAACGTCGTTGTGGTTGAGGACAGGACTTTTAAAAAGTAAATAAACTCTAAGGAACTGCGATCCAGAGAGGAGGTGGCACACTGTTTATCCAGAGGCCCACCAGGACCACCTGACCGCGCCCTCCTGCCGAGCAGGGAAGCTTGAGGGAGCAAGATGGCCTGTCCCTGGACCCTGTCCCCTTTCCCTAAGTAAGGGGCGTGGCTGACTTGGGCATATAACTTCCTCACAGACATGTAGAAAAATGTGTGCCAGCAGCCCCTCTGTCCACGGCCTCTGGGTTCCCTCTGTGGCTCCTCCCACAGGGCCAGCCCCACCCGTGGACTGATGCCTATGCCAGGGAAATTCCTCTCTCATTAAAATAAGCAGTATTTTATGTCATTTGCTCACATAGTGCATTTTGTGTTGTCCTGCTGCTGAGGACAAATCAAGTATATTCTTGATTAAATATGAGGCATAATGATGTCACAGTAAGCTAAGAGTCTGACTTTCTTGTGCATATTCTGGTACCTCATTGTTGGGACAGCCACCTGAGTGTCAGGAAGGGCACTGGGAGGAAGGACCCTGTTGTCCACTGCGATAGAGTGAAGGCCACGGCCACTGCCTGCAGGATGCCTGCGTGGCCCTGGGACTAGGTAAAGGACGGCATGAGCCGGGGACCAGCTCCTCGGACTGACTGCACAACTGAGGAACCAGGGCTGAGTGTGAACATCACCTTCTCCCCAAGCTCAGGACGGACCACTGAGGTGCCATACTCAGGGCAGGACAGAGGGACAGAGGCTCCCTCTACAGGATGGAGCAATTACTGTCACTCATTACTCCCCTTGGAGGGCAGGGAGGTGCGAACGGATCTAAACCCCATACACAGTGATCCTGGACGTGACCGGGAGGCTCTGGCTCCGCCTGAGGGTCCGGCCAGTGTGCTGTCCATAGCACCTCCCCTGCGGTGCTATGATAGAGAGGTGTCTAACACATAGGAACATACAGTAAGTACACACTTCTGAGCGCCTACCGTGTGCTAGGCCTTTGTAAACACTATAGAATAGCTCTACAAGGTGCAAGTCGCTCCTTCATGTGACAGTTGAGGACACTGAAGCCACAAGCTGGTGGGACACCATTAAATGGCTTAAAAGAAAAGGTAGAAACAGAAGTTTCTGCAGAATTAAGGGTATGTATTATACCTACCTTTTCCTCAAAGAACTTTCTCCTCAACTTGGCATCTGTGGGTGGCAGCGTCCTCCTCAGATCCCGGTACCACTTCCTAACCACGTGTCCCCTCCAGCAAGCTTGGATCCTAGACTCGGGTTGGAGAGGGGTGGTCAGGTGGTGTCCTGTGCGGGCTGGGTGGAAGTGGCCCCCACCCCCCCCAATGTGACACCAGCCGTTGGTGTGACCTCTGAGCCCTCCTGCCACTGCGGGTGCCCGGAGCCTTCTCACCGGGTCGCACTCTTGGCTTTGCAGAGCCGGGCCGCGTCGTGGATCACGCGGGTTTGGTACTGGCTTCTCCTGCAGAGCGGACAGGTCTTCTTGCTGGTGAACTTCTCGAAGGCCTGCAGGCACGCCTGCGGGGAAACATTCCCCTTAAACAAGTGATGACTCAGGCACCACGTTTTCACTCCCATGTAATTACAGTGTTCTGTCCTCGTAATTATGAGACTCGGTCCAATTTAGATCATGAAGAAGTTTCTTTTTTTAAATATATATATATATATATTTTAAATATATATATTTTATTGATTTTTTACAGAGAGGAAGAGAGAGGGATAGAGAGTTAGAAACATCGACGAGAGAGAATCATCGATCAGCTGCCTCTTGCACACCCCCTACTGGAGATGTGCCCGCAACCAAGGTACATGTCCTTGACTGGAATCGAACCTGGGACCTTTCAGTCCGCAGACCGACGCTCTATCCACTGAGCCGAACCAGTTAGGGCAGATCATGAAGAAGTTTCAACAGCTGTGAACACCTTCCTCACGTAGCTTGTTCCAAATGATCTCTTATAAGAATACACATGCACATACATCAGAACCTCTGGAAACAAGTCCCGCACAGGAGAGGCGACTGGGGGGTGGGGGGGTGACCGCAGTGAGCCCAGGACCCGCTGCCCACGCTCGGACTGCCATGCAGACGTCTGGCTGGGGTTTTGTCCCATAAAACCCACCACTTTCTAAGCAGGATGAACTGCACTGTGGCCCAAAGTCACATTGCGAGCTGTGAAAGGTGACTGCGGATAAAACCAGCGGGCCTGTGAGGGGACTCAGTGAGCAGGATGGCCCCGTCTCCTGAAGCCACAGGCAACGCGTCGCACACGTGAGCACTATCGCAGCCACTCACCCTGTGAAACACGTGGGAGCATGAAAGCAGCACCTGCCACGGGAGAAAAAAAGTGTTTGAAGTTTCAATTAGTGTAACAGAGAAGCAGCATAAATGCGTTAATTAAAAATTCTGAGTGCTCGAAAGGTAAGCTTGTTGTTTCTTTGAAAAATTAAAAAAGCAAATTAATAACCTCCATATGCATAATATTTAGTGTTTTTAGTATGGCCCAGGCATATAATCTCAACAAGAAAAGCTAAATTAAACATCAAACACACATGAAGTTTGCTATAAAAAGAGTGTATACTTAAAAACGAAACAATTATGAAGTGGATGCATTTCCTGGGCAGATCCTTGGGGATGGGGAGGAGGGCAGCAGAGAAAGGTAAGAAAAAGCCTTTTCCGGGCTTTGTACAACTACACTGCACTCTTTAACTTTGAAAAGCACAGCTTTATTGAGATATAATTCTGACACTAAATAGTAATAAGTGCTGGTTACATAGGAATCACTTTTTGTTTTTAAATGTAGGGAGAGTGTGGTCAGGAGAAAATGTTCTCTTTCTGTGACCCAAATTCCCACAAAAGGTGACATTCTGGGTTATGACAAAAGCCAGAAGCTTAGACCCAATCAAGAAAAAGGCAGCTGGTCCTCCGTAAGGGAGAGCTGGGCGGGCGGGCGGGGCGGGGAGAGGAAGGAGGGATGGGGCAGTGCAGGCTGGTGGGCAGAACAGTTCCGGGTGGAAGGTGCAGCAGGGAGTGCCATCAGTGGTATCCTGATAACAGGTCTGTGTCGGGTGGTGGTAGATTTACCAAGATGACCAGTTATGTGATGTCTAATCTCTGGGGTGTACACCTGAAACTAACATAATACTGTGTGTCAACTGTAATTAAAAGTAAAAAATGATTTAAAAAGAAAATTAAAGAAAGAGGTTCCAGGCAGCAAGACACCCGTGGCTTCATTAACTCTCTTTTACACTAAAATGCTGAACTATCCCAGATGGTAATCTTGTAGCTTAAGGGCTAAAGTCTTTTGAAACGCCTGAGTTTCACAGACGTAAGGTTAGGTTCTGATGGAGAACTGGAATATATCCAGTGGTGAATTCAAATTAGTGAAGATCAAAAATTTTATTGTGAAGTAACTCATTTACAGTAAACCTATGAAAACAAATGAAGTTTGAGACGTTATATGCCAGGGAGCCAGCGAAGTGGGCTCTTGATTCTGCTGCGTTTCCCAGCAAATGCCGAGGGCCTGCCCAGGGAGGCAGGGCCCTGCATGGAGGTCACTTGGAGACTCTAAGGCAGGCGCGTCCCTGACACGCAGGTTCAGGTAACCAGGCACCCGGAATCAGCGTACAGAAACCCTGTGACAGAGGTTGATTACATATACTCTCTAGTGTGACAAAGTCTCATGAATAAAGATAGATTTTACTTAGAGCATCTTCCACAAATTATCTCAAAACACTCAAGCCTAGTTTTTCTTTTATATTTCAACTAGAGGCCCGGTGTATGAAATCGTGCACTGAGAGGGGGGTTGTCCTTCAGCCTGGCCTGCGCCCTCTTGCGGTGCAGGGGCCCTGGGGGGATTTCCTATTGATGGCTTAGGTGAGGGGAGCGGGGCCTAAGCCAGCAGTTGGACATCCTTGGCGCTGCCATGGACGTGGGAGAGGATCCTGCCGCCACGGCTGCGCTCAGCAGCCTTGAGCCCGGCTCAGGGCTTCTGGATGAATGGCACTTCTCCTGTGGGAGCACACTGACCACGAGGAACAGCTCCTGCACTGAGCGTCTGCCCCTGGTGGTCAGTGCACGTCATAGCAACCAGTCATTCTGCTGTTTGGTTGATTTGCATGCTAGCCTTTTATTATATAGGATTCATAAAACAGCTTAAAAATGCCTCTAGCTTTCATGCATTCCACTTGGGGACAGACGCTCCTGTCGGCGTCACAACTGCTCAGCTCTGTGCTGGTGGCACTGGGCTTTCTGTCCACAGTCTTTGTGCTTGAGAATACTGTCCAGTCAGTGAACAGCACTGCTAGCTACAGTGTTTAGCTCTTCCTCAAACGTGGAAATGGCCAAGAAAATGTGAGTATCTGAGTGTCACAGGAAGAAAGGACCTCCGTGTGCGTGTTTTTGTTCCTAATGCCTTCTGTAAAGTGCAGGGGCATATAATCTCGGCGCCTCACAGCGAGGGGCCCAGGCTGCTCGTGGGCCCGCCCGCTACCCACCTGGGGCCGGAGCTGGAACTCCTCCCTGCAGATTGGGCAGGGCTGCGAGGAGTCCCCCTGCGAGACGGACCTCTGCTTCACCTGCTCCCACTCATCTGCGGAGAGTGGCGGTGGGGGAGGCTCACACAGGCCCAGCTTCTGCGCTGAAGTGAAAGCAGTGCGGTGTGAGTTAACAGTTTTCGACGGGGGCTCGCTCCCACTTCTGACACCAGCACACAGCCAGCTGTCTGCGGGCTAGAGCGAAATAGGAAGGTGCTCAGGGCCTCGTGTGGCAGTGGGTCCCTCCACGTGGTGCCGGCACATGTGCGTGGAGACCCTGTCCCAGACACACCTATTTCCTACTCCAGCACATTTTTAAATGTTTTCTATGTCTTTCTTTCAGTTTAAAATGTCAGACTTGCAAAAGGTAAAACAGGTAGAGTCCTCCTGCGTCTTTCAGCAGCTCCCCATAGTTACCGCACCATAGCCCGCAGGCAGAGTCAGACCAGGACAGAGTGTTGACCCAACTGCCCGTCTGCTCCTGCCCACTCGGCCTCCGTTCTGCCCGCTCCCCCAGCGGCGTGTCTTCTCTGCACCAGCAGTGACGCTCACACGGTCTCCGCCGCCTGGCAGGCCTGTCCTCAGCTGCTCTCCTCCCCCCGGGAAGAGTGCGCCAGGGCCACGTCATGTCCTTTCACTGGGTTTGTCTGATGTCTCTCAGGTTGAACTTGCGTGTGCGTGTTGGGAGACCACCAGAGCAGGGAGGCCGCACCCTCCAGCACCCCCCAGAGGCACCAGTGGGGTGTCTGTCGGGGTCAAGTGCAGTTTGGCCCATGTTACCATGTAAAGCTATGGCTGTGCCCTTGCAGTGAACGTGTGCATGTGGGACTGTGTGTGGCAGCATGGTTTTCCCCACCGATGGTGTCATCACTGTGCTGCTTGCCAAATGGTGCCGTGCCAGTTCTAGCCTGCTCCTGGGCTTCTGGGTGTCCCTCTGTGGCAGAGAGTGTTGGCTTCCCATTGGCCACACCATTCCTTATTGCCATCGGCATGGGTGAGCGATGTGTCATTTCACCTTTTTGCTTATGCTACTGTCATTACCAACGCTATTTACTTTATTTAGTTGTCCCCATCATTGCTTCCAAACTTTAGCACACACACATCTTTCTATAAGGTCACACATTCTGTACCAGAGAACATTTTACTATTAACCTCAACCAAATTCCTTAGCTTGAATACGTCAAACATGAATGATGAGGTCAGCTTACCTAACGTTAATGGAGGCGGCTTTGGATCAAGAACATACTCTCTTTCTGGGTCTTCCTCTTTGGGGCCTGGTGCAGTCTTTGGAAGTCCTGTCTCTGTGACAGCTTTTGTGTTTCTTTTCAGAGACTTTGATGTGTTGTCTCTCTTTGGTACCTTTGTCTTGGAATGATCAGCCACTGAAAGGTCCCGCAGTTGAAGATCATGTAAAATGTGATCTTGTAGTGCAACTGCAGCGACGGCTAAGTTCTCTCGTTTAGATGAATGACCCTGAAAAGAAGGAACAAGGCCATATGGACAGGACATTATGTGACATCATTTAGAAGAAAACCAAGGCTTTCATATTCCACCCGCAAAGCCTCCTAGCCCGAGTGACCCAGGAAAGGGTGCCGGACCCCTTGTCAGCTGGATGGGAGCAGAGCCATCTCCTCATTATGGCAATGACGTAGTAATAGCTGCTCATTTAGTCTCTACGGTGAATTACAATGCAGATAAACTCATTATGGCCTATAACGCAGCAGTCCCCAACCGGTGGCTGCAGACCACCGGTGGTCTGCGAGGTCCCGAAAGGTTGGCGACCGCTGCTATGCAGGCTGTGTGCGCCTGAACACGTTCTGTTTCGCTCTAAGTCAGGCTGCAGGCCAATTTGTTACACCAGAGCATCTTGCAATTAGTAGATGCCTTTTTGGTGAAAACTCACATGGAGTAAAATTGCCATGAGGCTAAGAGGTCCTCAGTGAAGTGAAGCTTGCCAGCTGTCTTCATGCTCTCACATAACTGAAGTAAAACATATCCATGACCACAACCAGGTGTATGTTTCAGAAAAGAATTGTGTACCTTATTTTTTAACATGCTAAATCAGGAAGCTTTGCGGCTTGCTTGGCTCTATCAAATTCTGTCATCATGGTATTGCATTCCTTTCATTCTTCTACTTACAAACAGTCCACAGCAAGTCAGGGTGAGACTGCAGAGGAGAGCGAGACAACAGTGGTTACACATGAGCACACACCTCAGGCCGGCTGTGCGGGAAGTCCTCCAGAGAGAGCACTCACTGCGATCTGGAGGACGACGGGAGCGGACACGCTGCACCACGGACCCAAAGGGAGACACCAGGGGCTCAGCACGTGCTTCTCGCCCGGGGAGGAAGGAGAGCCTGGGTTCAGGGCAGAGAGGAACCTGGCTCGCTTCGGTGTGGCCACCACACACACACACACACACACACACACACACACACACACACACGGGGGCTCCACCTGTTTGCTGGGCAGTTTACTTTGCAGATGAGTCAGCTTCCTCACCTTACAAGGTGTAATAACACACACACACCTGGCAGGGTTAGAGCTGTAGCACAGGAAGCAGTTTTTGTAAAGTGTCTTCCATGGGCCTTTCACACTGAAGGTACTCTGTAAATGGTCATTGTTGGCCCACGTCCCTTCAGGCTGCTGTGAGACTTCAGGCTTGGCTCTTAGAAACGTAACCCTTGCCCCAAATTAACAGCTGAAATTAATAGGAATATTCATTCTTCGCAAACTCCAGTATTACCAAGAGGTAGCTTGGTAACGAAAAATACCATTGTGGTGCCAAAGTAATTAGTTACCAATTTGTTTAAGTGACCTTAAGCTAGTTAATAAACATGCCAATTAAAAACATGCAGTAAGAGATATACCATTTAAAGTACAATTGAACATACTGTCTTATTTTTTATATCGTGTGAATTCCTTGTTTGCACATTTTTGGTGAGATCACAGCCGGGACGGCCAGAAGCAGACAGACAGATATAAAATTAAATAGTTAAATTCTCTGCAAAAACATGGCCAGGCCTTTGGACTCGGTTCCCTCTGAAGCACCGGGCAGCATTAAATTTCAGAAGTCACCCGTTGCAGACTGTTGATGTTTTTAGGCCCCACCAAGGCACGTCACCAGGGCTGCCCTGGACTGAGGGGCTTCCTGCCAGGTGGGCGTGTTGAGGGGCGCGGGCGTGGCCCAGGCGTCAGGCCCCCGCCGCCTCACCTGCTGCCTGCTCATCTCTAGCTCTGGGGGGTACCAGTACCCCGTAACCAACACCAGTCCTCCGCGCCCTCACCACAGTCTGCTTCTCCACCTTTGTGACCGCTCACCGTTGCCTAGCAACTGCCGCCTCCGCAGTCATCCCTTCCTCCCCCCAGTGCGCATGCTCAAGGGCCAGTCTCCCCAGTGACAAGTTCTGGACGTGGCCTGGGGTTCAGGCGCCCCCCCTCTGCACAGGACTACTCTGCGCATGCTTGCTGGCTCCGTGGCACAGAGCCGCACCGCGCATGCTCCACTGGCCTAAGGCGTGTGGTGGGGCCCTGATAAGGAGTGGGGGAAGTGGGGTGGGGGGTGGAGAGGTAGGGGGGTGGGGTTGGGGGGTGGGGTTGGGGGGTGCTTCTAGGGGCCCTGCCGATTTTCTCTTGAACCTTGTGCCCGGAGGTCACTGGCTTCTTGGATCTGCAGTTTTCAGGATATTTGACGAAACTTAAACCATTTATTTTTTTTAAAAATGTTTTTACTGACTTTATTTTTTTTAAATTATTTTTTAAAAATATTTGTTTTATAGATTTTTTATAGAGAGGAACAAGAGTGATAGTTAGAAACATATCAGCTGCCTCTTGCACACCCCGGGGATGTGCCCTCAACCAAGGCACATGCCCTTGACCGGATTCGAATCTGGGACCTTACAGTCTGCAGGCCGACGCTCTATCCACTGCCAAACCGGTTTTGGCTAAATATGTTTTATTGACTTTAGGGGGAGAGAGGGAGAGAGAGAGAACATTGATGAGAGAAACATCAATGGCTGCCTTCTGCACCCCGGTCGAGCCTGCTACCCAGGCATGTGCCGTGACCAGGAATGGAACCGGTGGCCTCTTGGTGAGCGGGTGGATGCCCAGCTTAGTGAGGGACACAGCCAGGGCAGCCATTTATCGGCTCCACTACCTCTTCTGCCTCTGCCCACCCTCTCTGCTCCGGATTCGGCTACGTTTACATCAGGCTTCTCTGCATGGATGTGTGCACACATGGCAACATGATTTTCAGGTTTCACCTTTGCAGTGAGATTCTCGGTGGTGCTGGCAGTGCCGGTAAGCCGCAGCCCCGGGCCCGGTGCCATGAGGCACGCACCCGTACCTACAGGGTCGTGTTAAAATCCATTTTCCACTTATGGCATTTTCCACTTAAAATGGGTTCATTAGGTTGTAACCCCATCATAAGTCAAAGAGTCCTGGGGATTCCGGGACGAAATACATGGCCAGCCCGAGCGAGTCAGGAGACCCCAGCGCCCTGGCTCAGCCACCGACCCGGGATGGACGGCTGCCTGAGCAGGCTGACTGTGTCAGTGGGGGCTCCGGGGAAATTCCTTTATTCTCCCCTGAAGACGGGCAGAGGAAGCGGCAGGTCGCAGTGGCCGCTCGCCATCCGGGAGGGCCTGGAGCTGCTGAGGACCCCCAGGCCGGGGGCGCCTGGGCGGGCAGCGGAGGCCGGGACCCCGGGAGCCAGCCCTCCTCTCGGCCTCTCGCTGCCTGAGGACTGAAGTCCCTCCCAGGTCGGCCGGTTTTGGTCTGCTTTCCCGTTACTTGTAACTGGCGGATTCGGTTGGCAGTCAGGTGTACTTCCCCACCTTAGGACTGTGGTGTGGAAACCTCCCGTGTGTGAACTCTGTATCCGTGTATTCCTTTCCTCTAGCCACATACTTAAAACTTCACGACAGCTTTACTACCTGCATGCTCTATCCCCCCAAAATGGGCACTTACATGCTTTTTTTTTCTTAGTCCTCACTGAAGGACATTTTTTTCTACCGTTTTTGTTTTTTTAAGAGAGAGTGGAAGGGAGGGAGGGAAATGAGAGGGAAATGCCAATATGATAGAGACACATCAATATGCTGCCTCACGCTGCCCCCCATGCTCACCCAGATCGGGAATCGAACCTGCAACCCAGGCACATGTCCTTGACTGGGAATGGAGCCCAAGACCATCTGGTGCATGGGCTGGCACTCTAACCACTGAGCACACTGGCCTGGGCAGAAATGGGTGTTTCTTATTAGCTACGCAGAATGTTTTTCTGCAGGCTTTGGTTTGACAACTTAACCTCGCAGCTATAACTTTGTAATTCTTGACAGAAGCCTGACTGGCCTGACTGACTAGATGGACATTGAAGACAGGGTGTGAGGAATACCCTCCTCGGTCCTCCTTAAGATGCGATCCCAGCCTTGGCCTGAGACACATCGCCAGGAGCGCGTTCTTGGGTGGGGCCGTTAGCGTTTTTCAGGGTTAGCGTTTTTGCTTGTTTGTTTAAAGAGGGGCCTAGGAGGTTACCCGGATGCAGAGCATGTGTGATGTGTGGCTTCCAAGCACCCTCATTGTGCACACCTCGTGACACCCCCCCCCCCCCCCCCCCCCCCCCCCCCCCCCCGTGTGCAGCCCTCGCACCGTGCGTTTCTCTTAGAATTCCGTCCCAGCGGGGTGCTCTGACACGGGTCTGGCTGGAAGTGAGAGAGCCGTGGCCGCAGGACGTGTCGGCTGCTCTGCTCAGTCGCTTGGAGGAGAAATCAGCCGGGCTGGGCAATTTGAGGGCTGTGTGTGCACGGACAGGAAAGGGCACTGGCCCAGTCCCCTGCACGGCCGAGAGGGGAGGGGGAGTGAGCGGCGTGGGGAGGGGTCTTACTCTGTCTCGTCCGCGCAGAAGCGAGGCGGGAAGGCGGCGGGCGGTGCTGGCGTGGCCTGGAGCCGCCTTCTGGTTGGGGAGGAGGAGGTCCCGCACTTGCACTAGAGACATGTTTGTGTTTGTTTTTTCTGTGGAGTGATAGAAATTTGTCATAAAATTTCTCACACTATGCAGTTGCACAAAGAGGAAAGTAAACAGGTTTGCTCCTAAAGCTCACACCCAGAGTGATTCTTAAGAGCAGATTCCCAGGGCCTGTGCATTGCTGGGTGGGTGGCTATACGTGCTGTTTAAAATAAAAAGTATGGAGTTTTATTTTTAGATAAGAATCTTTTACTACAAGTTTTTGTTTATAAATGATAAGTTTAAAATGTGGAGATTATGAAAACGTTGAGGTATTGATATCCCAGTTGCATTATCCCATTTCTCTGCTCACCCGTTTATGCAATGAGCTCTGTGCAAACGCCCTCGCTGTCCCTGTGCCATCGGCCTCTTTGTGGGTCTCACAGACAGAGGACACCATAAACTGTTAAGAATACAAGGCAAATAGGTTGCGGAGCTGAATGACAGTCTTGTGAAAGACTCGGATTTAATGCAGCTGCTGAAAGTGCCGGTGACTCTGGTAAAGCCAGGCTGACTGGAAAGCTGGGAGAATTAGGCCAGGTGATGGTTTGACAAGGGCACTGGCCGGGAAGGAGCTTCAAAAGACCAGGCTTGCCAGTGGAGGGATTAAGAGGAGCCCTTGGGAACACTCTGAAGAATTTGAAATCACGTGCACAGAAAAGCCTGCTTTAAAAGTCCAAGGGGAAGTGAGAGAAGCCACTCTGGTTTTAGTCGGTCCTGTGTACTCACACAGCGTGGTCAGGCCACGGCCCCTCCTTGGGTTTCTGGCCGTGGGTCTGTTGTCGCTTGTCATCATGTCCCCGTCTCTGCTCCTGCCTGTTCTGGAGTCAAGGGCCCCGCAAGCGAGAGCTCGCTGGAGCCGGGGGGCGGCCAGGGCGGGCGGGAGGGCACCACAGGGGGAACGGGCTGTGGGCGTGGGGGTCGGGGGGTCTAAGTAGAAGAGGGACACTTCTCCGATGGGGCTGGGTATGCTGGCTTTCTCGGCTGGTCCCGAGTCCAGGCACACAGAGGCTGCAGTCGGCACCGGGTCTGCCTTTGGGGCCGGTTGCTGCTGAGGT